TTGGCGTCAACTCCCACTGTCTGGCCCGGTTCCCAGTACGTGCTGCTCCCCACGAATCGATTGGAGCCTTGCCTTTCTTAAAAAAGAAAAAAGAAAAAAAAGGCCTCCGCTGATAAGGTGGGAGGAGGTGATGCGCCAGCCTCTTTTCGGGAACAGGAGGATTACTGACAAATACAATAGGGTATATCGTAGCTCTCACACTCTGTGGAGCAGCTGGGTCAAAAGAGGCATAATCAGAATGAAGGACATATGAGACACAGAAAAAGGGGGACTGGAAAACGGCGCAGTTAAAGATCATACTAAAACATTGCCACAAGGTCCAGGAAAATCTAGACCTGCTGATTTTTGCGGTTCCCCTGGACTGGGTGTGTTTACTGCGAAGAGGACCGCACTCAATTGAAGGGGACTGGGTCGCTTCCCCGGCGGACCTGGAAAGTGTAGGCAATGTGGTAGAGGTACGGACAGATGAGACGCTGGTGAACCTCTTGCACATAGACAAGGATAATATGCTCACCACATATAGCCCAGAGACAATGAGATGATGGAGAAATGTAGACCTGCACATGATCCAGGTGTTGCGGGAAAAGATGTTTGAGTAGCATTCCAGCCAAAGACCCCTGTGACAGAACTCCCCTTCGACCCCGATGATTGGCAGTGGACCCCTCCGCGAAAATCTAGAACGGGGGAGAACCGAAAATTGTAAACTTTAAGTGAGGGCCACATACCGTCTGGTACGTAGATCTGCACAAGATCCGGGTGCTGCGGGAAAAGATGTTTGAGTAGCATTCCAGCCAAAGAGCCCTGTGACAGAACTCCCCTTTGACCCCGATGAATGGCAGTGGACCCCTCCGCAAAAATGTAGAACGGGGAAGAACCGAAAATTGTACACTTTAACGGTGAAGGCCACATACCGTCTGGTACGACCAAAGGTGAACATAAAAGAAACGGTGAAGGCTGGGTGGAGGTCTCACTTCAACGTAGGAATGAAGGCACTCTGGCCCATCCGATGGTTCACTGCCACAAGGTCTAGGCCAGCGAAGATGGCCTCGCTGCAGTGGCGGATCGAACATTGCTGCCGAACCACGAATAATTGGCTGATAGAACATACACAGCTGGAGCAGAAGGGCCTGGCATTACCGTGGTGTAAATCGTGCCACACTGCATTCCCTTCCCACAGAATTCCGGAAACTGTAGAACACATATTTATGCAGTGTCCAGGGGCAGTTCTCACGTGGCGATGGTGGGACAGGATTTGGACCCTACTGGCCACGGAGTCTAACTTGCCATGGGATTGGAGGGCCATATTATGTGAAGCATGGTCCTCCCCCACCGATAATACTTTTGAAAACATGTTCAAGTTAGGGAGAAGGGCGGTGATGTGGGCCCTCTGAAGAAAACGTTGTACACATACCATCGAGGGTGTCTGCATAGATGGGGAAGAGGTAACAGAGATGATAAAGCAATATATTCAGCAAGAACTCACGGTACAGTGGCAGAAAGTTAAAGACCGACTTTCACTCAACACAGGATATAACACGAGCAATTCATCAATTCTCTGGGGACTGGTTGGGCAGTGAGAAGGGGGGCTGGATCGCAGGTGTTAGATGGGATGGAAAGCCCTTAGCTGCTAGTGTAGAAAGAGTGATCTGGCGGTCAGGCACAGACTGAAGAGACGGCTCTTGTTTTGCCAACAGACTTACCACCAAACCTGCACAGTCAATCCCCTGGGTACAGGGCAATCAATGCTGGCAGTTGAGTGTATAATGGGATGCTGGAGGGGCAAGAAAGGATGGACTATTGTTGTCAAATGAATGTTGGTTGTGGCATCTGCCGGATTAGGAAAAGCTATGCAGCAGTGGGAGTGGATTGGCTGGGGAACAGAAAGGGACCACTGGTGCCCCCCAGTGTGGCCCGGACTGGGCCCCGGACCCGGGCCCACGGTATCCGCACCCGCAAATATCTTTTTTTTTTTTTTCTTGTAAGTGCTAGGGGTGCTGATAAGAGCAGACACCGCTAGCATTCCCCGGGAGGCTCCATCTTATTGGTGGCAGGTCATAGGTTCGATTTCTAGTTGAGCTGCTCTTGGGCTTCATGTGTTAGCACGTGACAACTACTTGAGCCTGCTCACACCACACACAGATCCATATATAACTCTACGAGTCTGATAGTTATTATGAGTGCGCGTACAGCCGGTCCTTAGTAATATACACCACTGGAACTACTGTCGATCCTGAATGTACAATGTACATGTAATATATATATATACCGGGCAGTTCTATTTGACGATATATATATATATATTTTTATTGCAATTACAACCGTTCCTGAATGTACTGGACAGAAAGTACGGCAAGAGTGATTCTGCAGATTGTCAAGGGGTTCAGCCTGAAGTAATACAAAACAGTCAGTCGTTACCTTGTCGATAGTCACTCGTCACCATTGTTGTTCCTTTTTTTTTTAACCTGTTTTTCTTTCTTTTTGAGTTCATTCTTTATTCTTCAGTCTGGACTTGTGCGTTCTTTTTTTGGCTTCCAACTCCTACTTTCGGCGTCCTATTTTTGTGTTCCAAATCCTTAAAGAATTCTTTCAGCGTGTCCTCAGCAGAATTCTTTGAGGATTGTGCGATTTCTCCTGGGGGGTCACCAGCCAGAGTGCAACTGTGTTGTACTGGAGATATCCATAGCTGTCTCTTATACACATCTAGATGTGTATAAGAGACCGCTCTCTC